CGGATGCTGGTTGGGTTGGTCGCCCGACCGGCCCAACTCATCTCTGGTCGTTCCCGGGCGGGCGTCCGGATGGGGCCCCTCTCGCTCTGGATCGGGCGGGGCTTAAGACTGGGTCCCCCCCCCCGACCTTGGCGGTGAGGTTGGTGCATTTGTAGCATGCAGCGCGGCCTCGGCCAGCCGGGGGCACCGTGGGGAGTGGGGTAGGGGGCAGGGCTGTGACAGGAGCTCCCGGCCTCTCCCCGCAGGGGGCGCTGCATCCGGGGCTCTGCCTGTGTCCAGGAGTGGTGCGTGTGGGGGGTGCCCCCTTTCCGCCAGAGGCTGGGGGGGTGCCCGGGGGGGATCTCACGTCCAGCGTGGCTGCAGTTTCGGGGGCCTGGTTCTGCTTGGCGAAGCGGGTCACACGTTGGGGGCCAGCGGCTTGGGGCTGAGTGGCTGGGGAGGGGGCCAGATGATAGGGGAGGGGGCTGTCAGGACGACCGGCACGACGGGGCCCTGATCTCAGTCAGGGTCTGGGCAGCGCCCGGCACGACGGGAGGCCCTGATCTCGGTCGGGGTCTGGGCAGCGCCTGGCACGACGGGGCCCTGATCTCAGTCCCGGCCTGTAGGTGATGTGGTAGAGTAAACCCCGTTACTGATACATTTCAAGTCCTGAGCTGCCTGGGCGGCCCCCAGAATCTCTTCTGTAACGAATGCGTCAGTTTTGGGGCTGGTTCCCTCATATCGTGTCCTGTATGAATGGGAAACATCTAGAGAACCCAGGAGTCCTGGCTTCCAGCCCCCCTGCTCCAACCACTAGACCCCACTCCCCTCCCAGAGCTGGGGAGAGAACCCAGGAGTCCTGGCTTCTAGCCCCCCTGCTCCAACCACTAGACCCCACTCCCCTCCCGGAGCCAGGGAGAGAACCCAGGCATCCGGGCTCCCAGTCCCCCCTTGCTCTCACCACTAGACTCCCCTCCCCTCCCCGGGCTGGGAATAGAATTATTTCCCTCTGCTAATTATGTAATTAGCAAAGCAATTATTTCCGATTTTCCCCTGTTCGTATATTGTACATAACACACACAACCGCTGCTTATAAATACAACCATATTGATACTGTGTGTGTGTGTTGTGTTAAAACAACACTGCCAGATCGGTGGATAGATATTGATGTAAATAACAGAGTGGTTAGAGTCCGGGGGACCAGGAGCCAGGATGCCTGGGTTCTCTCCCCGGCTCTGGGAGGGGAGTGGGGTCTGGTGGGGTAGAGCAGCGGGACCAGGAGCCGGGACGCCTGGGTTCTCTCCCCGGCTCTGGGAGGGGAGTGGGGTCTAGTGGCTAGAGCAGGGCGGGCTGGGAGCCAGGACGCCTGGGTTCTCTCCCTGGCTCTGGGAGGGGAGTGGGGGCAGGTGGTTAGAGCAGGGGGGGCTGGGAGCCAGGACTCCTGGGTTCTGTCCCCGGCTCTGATGGGGGTGAGATGGGAGCTAGGAGTGTTCAGTGATGGAAATGGGTTCTGGTTCCAGAGCCGGGGAGAGAACCCAGGAGTCCTGGCTCCCAGCCCCCGCAACCAGCGCTCTAACCACTGGACCCCACTCCCCTCCCAGAGCATGTTCCTTCCCCTGCATTGCAGGTGGGGCGGGGGGGTTATCTGGCTGCACTACGTTGGGATGGGAGGTTACTGCAGTGTCACGACTTGGATGCCGCCTGCTGCCCGAATGCAAAGTCCCAATTGCTGGGCCCTCCCCTCCCCGTCTCGACTTCATGTGGGCACCCCGCTCCCCGGACAGCCCTCGTGCGCCCTCGTGCGCCAAGCCCGTGTCGAGCCAGGACTTGGGGGCGCTGGGAGACCCGCCAGCTTTGTGACGGGGCAGGGGCTGGTGCGGTCGTACCGTAGCTTTCTCGCCACGTGCCCAGGGGAGCCGTGCCCCCTCCGCTGTCGTGCAAACAGTGCGACGCGATGGGCTGTCGTGCAAACAGTGCGACGCGACGGGCCATCGTGTGAATAGTGTGACGCAACGGGCAATCGTGTGCGCCGCGGGGTGGGAGAGGCCGGCGGGTTACGGGCAATCAGACGTCACGCGACGGGTCGTTATCCGATCTCAGGGACTTTCCCTTCTCAAAGGGGGTGGGGGGACCCTGGGTGCTTCTGTCTCACCACGATACCCCTGGGGAGCGGGGAGGGAGTTGGCACAAGATTGTCCCCACCGCGGGCTGGGTTGGGGGAGCGTGTAGCCCCTGGAGCTGCCTCCCTCCCACGTGATGCCAGGGGGCCCCGTCGCCCCAGCCCGGGGCCAACACGCCCGAGATGGCAGTATTCGGCGGACGCCTCTCGGTCCCACCCCGTCCCCACAGCTGGGCAGGGGGCCAAGCCACCGCTCCCAGCTGGCAGGAGCAGCAGGGCTGTCAGGCAGGGGTGGAGACGCCAAGGCCCCCCCGGCTCTGACCCACCAGCCCCCACTCCCCTCCCAGAGCCAGGGAGAGAACCCAGGAGTCCAGGCTCTAACCTAGTCCCTCCCCCCAAGAGTTTGGAATACAATCATGACTCTGGACTGGGAGGCCAGGGTGTCAGGACTCCTGGGTTCTCTCCCCGGCTTTGGAAGGGGAGTGGGGGCTAGTGGTTAGAGCAGAGGGGGTGGGAGCCAGGACTCCTGGGTTCTCTCCCCAGACAGTGGCTGGGAGCTGTGTTGCTAGGGGTGCGTGGTAGTGGAACCTCGAGGCTCATGTAGCAGGACGTTGCTAGGAGACATGGGGGCAGGGGGGGGGAGCTGACAGCTCGGAGGAGGAGTGACAATGTTGGGCTGCCAGGATACATTGCCATGGCAACCAGAAACATACACAGCGCCAGCCTCCCAACAGCTGTTTCTACGGTAGGCGAGATTCACGTGGTGCAGCCACCTCTGGCCTGGGGCAGCTGGGAACAGCCGCATATAACGCCGGCCGGCCGGGGGATGGCTCGCTCAGTGCTGAGATGCAGCCACCTCTGGGGCGGGACAGCTGGGGACCAGCCTCACATAACGCCGCACGGGGAGGGCTCCCACGGCTCTGGGGTGCAGCCGCCTCTTCCCTCCTTCATCTGCCTCTGCCTCAGTTTCCTCACGACCCCCTCCCGTGTCTGGCTTTGTTTGACGCCGCCCCTCCGGCACCGGGTGTGGGTTGGAGAACGGGGCCGGGGCTGGGGGGGGAGTTGGAGCCTGGGGCATCATCAGCAAAGGGCACCCTACAATAACAAACCAGCCTATGGAAGGAGACCTGATAAAAACTAGGGTCCTACCAAATTCCTGGCCATGAAAAACGAGTCACGGACCGTGAAATCTGGCCTCCCGCCCGTGAAATCTGCCTTTTGGGTGCTTTGACCCTATACCATACTCGACCCTCTGTATACTCACGGGGGAGACCAAACTGGGGGGTCACAAGGTTATTTCAGGGGGGGTCACGGTATTGCCACCCTGACTTCTGCCCAGCTCTGAAGGCAACGCCCCCCAGCAGCAGCACAGACGTAAGAGCAGCCCCCCCCCAAATAACCTCGTGACCCTGTCATGGAGTCCCCGGGCGATGCTCCGGAGCGGCTCCCTACGAAGTCAGGCAGGACTCGGGGGAGCCTCCTCTCTCGGAGCAGACTCCAGGGCAAGAAGCTACCACAGCTGCCACCTTCCCGGGTCTGACCCCGGAGCATTCGGCCTCCCCTGCCCCCCCGTGCGCTTCCCCCGGAGGGGGTCCTGGGGGGCCAGAGGGCCCTGCCCCCCAACTCCGCAGCCAGACCTGATTCTCCGCCCGCCGGGGACACAGAAGGTTTATTAGACGATAGGATCACGGTCTGACACAGACAATGGGATCCCCTCAGTCAGGTCCATCTTGGGGGGCAAGGAGCTGAGACCCCAGCCCCGGGGCTCCCTCCGTTTCCCCAGCCAGCTCCAAAGTGAAACCC